GCAGGGGTGGACGTGTGATGTTCACACACCAGTTGTCCGGGATGCTTGGGAACTCCGGGAAAGCCACCTTCACCTTCGAATGACTCGAATGACAACTCGGCATGGATCGGTTCGTCAGCAATCGTGCCGTCACGAGGATCACTGAAGGTCATCTGTGTCAACATCAAGTGGATCGTGCAAAGAATGTACTCCCAACTCCTTCTCCAAAGTCACAACGTAATTGGCAAGCCATTCCTGGGTGTACAAGAAATCTCGGTCTTCCGCATTCGTCACGATATCATTCTCTTGGCCTACCTCATCAAAGGCATTGAAGACAGCATTCTGCACCGCAGCCATGTGCGTTGTCTGATGCCATCCCCCTCACCATGGGCACCAAAGAGGTGAGTCGGTGAGGGCTGAAATAACGGTACCACACGCGGAACCGGTACTTGCACACGCTGCTTCTCTTTTCGGTTTGCTTCTCATGGTGGTTCACGATATTCCCCTAAACCTCCCTGGGCCCCTGCTACTTTCCCATAAACCAGGTTTTCCCTCCGCCGCTTTCAGCAGCCGCTATGCCACCGCTGCAGATATACAAAAACAATCAAAAACACTATTGTTCAAACACCTTCAAGTGCTCGGACGCTTCACCTTTCGATTCTATCGTTCCTTTCCTGGGGGATTATATATGGTACTGGATGAATGTGCTTGTCTTCCTTTTGCATGGCAACAACAACGACCTTCTTGCTGTAAGGTATAATTACCCACAAAGTCAAAAGACGATTCTTTTTATAGTCGTTTCGTTAAAGACTATTTATTTTAGGTCGTTCGCAAACCACGCATGATCACGCACAATCACGCCCAACCACGCACGACCCCACACCCAATCGCATTCTGTTTTTGCTTTGGTCATTTGACCATCCACATGCTTGTCACCAGCCCTTTCGATCCAGAGAGGATTTGTTGAGCCTTGGAGGTGATTTGAGCTCAAGGTTGCAGCCGTCCGAACATCTATAGATCTACAGATCTGATAGCTAGATCGATAGATAGATATATTTGGAAATTCAACCCAATCTAATCCAAGTAACTTCATCACCTTATGTTTGAGAGTCCACAGACGTAGTTTTCCCATCTTCAAAGACCAGGAACGTTGGTACTTGCCGTGAGCACGGAGTAGAGTTCCTTTGCGCACAAATTCGATAGTAAACTAGGCAGACTAGACGAGACTGTCTTCAATCTAGACACGTAAGCTCCATCGATCTAAGCACTATCAAGCCGGGCCGCTGCGCATCCATCCCATGTTGTCTTCGTCCACGAAACAGTGGGAATAGCGGAAATTGATCCCTGGGCAGCAGTCACTGAGAGTGCAGAAAAACATATAGATTGATCGGTGATGCATGCCAGTTGGTCATATTCCAAACCGTGCATAACATGTGCACACGCATGCATTCATGATGCGTAATATACATTCAAGAGGCTGTGCACTTTGATTTGTCGCAGGAGGTGGCCAAATGCCTGCAAACGGGTTTGAAATGTCAGTGACCGACCGATATGAATTCTGGTTTTTGCAGACACGATGCATGAATCTTTGGACGCAGTATGAAGTGCGCTTTCCCAAGCCTGCGTGCACGTTTTTCATGCAAATGCACAGCATGCATGGGCAAGCGGTACAAACACTACTACTCGGTACGTCGAGTTTCGCCTTCCACTCTCATAGTTGAGTAGAATATGCGTTCTTGCAAAAAGCATTCCCTCAGCATGAATTTCTTGAGCCTGCTGCTCTGTCCTGATGGAGAAGCTATCGGCCGGAAACACTCGTGCTCGAGAAACAACTTAAGAACATGACACACAAACTGCGACTGCGGACAAGAAACAAAAAGCGGGGTGCAGCCTCCACCAAGTGCAAGAATCTGGCCAAGGCGGTCCTTGCGACAAAGTGGCTTGCAAGTCTCAATTAACTGATTGATCGCGCGCGCATGCACAGTACATGCATGTAGAACCGATTTCTGCTTTGCTATCATGTACTGCAGCTAGAAGGCATGCAAGTATACATGGCGCCCATTCGCTCCACCAAAGGGTACATTGAATATGCAGTGGAAAGCACATTCTGAAGCCAAAGCTGAATGCATCGATTGTTATACGCCTTTCCTGTCATCATAATTTCGTTTCCCTTTTTGATGACCTTAGGCCCGGTTCTTGGGGAATGCGCAAGTTGAACAAGCAAGCAGCTAGCACGCACCTCAAACCTGCAATAATGAATCGAGCAACAAGCTTGACCGTGAAGGCAGGTTGGGAGCAGCGAATTTTGGAAACCTTCAGGAAGTTCTTGAAGTGATCATACGCCAAGTCTAATTGCTCCTCAAAAGGTCGATAATCATGAACCCCAATCATTAAAACGCGCACAGCACAGTACATTGAATGTGCAAACGCTCCTGTAAAGAAATCTCTCCGTGACGACCAAACATGTCAGTGCTCTCCAGCACTGTCATCCTAGGACTGCCATCCGCCAATGCTGAGAAAGTTAAGTTTCACGGAGTAGTACACCCACGCACGCACACATGCACAGCTCATTAAAAAGGTGCAAACAAGAATCAAACAGCTTCCATTCAGACCATACATCAATCCGAGATTGATTATATGCATTGAGCAAAAAGCAATGCACGATACATCGAAGCCCCTCAAGAGGATTAATGGGCCTAAGAATGTCAGCATCTTGAATCTCACCAAGCGAAAGCAAACAAACAAACCAGCAAACAAGCATTGCATACACACATCAACTCCAGCAAGCACATCCTGCTAAGCAGCTTGGCCCGACAGCAGGCATTTCCTTACGAAGGAATTCCTCGTGGGTGTACATCTTCTCCCAAAGCTTTGAGGAGTCAGTCACATTGTGATATCGACACTCTCCGCTCTTGACTGCAGGGCATGCAAAACAAACAGGCTTGCGAGCACCAGCTTGCCAACTCGAGTTGAAGCGGAAAACGAGCTTATGCCAAGCCCAGTCTCCACGAACCTCCACAACTTGGAATCGCCTGCCAGTGATCGCCTGACCTGCTCGCCTTTGAAACCTTTCAGGCAAAGGTTCACCTGATGGACCACAGGTGGGAAAGCGATCTTCCCAAAGACAATTCAGGCTCCACACAATTCTGGCGTATATTCTGTTCAAGGTCACATGTTTGTATAGCAAGTTCTCGTCCACGGTGCAAAGTAACCATCGAGACGCCCTGGCATTGTTGGGGCGGAAGATCGGACAGTTCAAGAAAATTCCGATTGCCTTCTGCGTAGGTTGGTGAGCAATTTGACGGATGCGGCAGCCATCACCGTAGATTCCCAACGGTACGAAGTCAGTGGACTCAGACTTAAGAGCCCATGGAGTTCCTCGAGGACGATGTTCTGTCCAAAACCTTTGGACATTCTTCTCACCAACATCCAAACGGACAGTGTTCCACAAATACTGAACCACACTAAAAGGCTCAAGTAGTTCGATCTCTATCCACTTAAACCCACGCTTGCTCTTCAAGTCCTTGACAGGAGCTCGAAGTGTTGCTGTCTCCTGGGGCTTGAACAGAACGGATTTTCCACCAGAGTGCATGCATGTGACCAGAAAAATCTCAGACGTACGTACTGCAATGTGAAAACTGATTGATAGCAAAGGTTCGACTGGCACGTGGCAAAAGCTAAAGAAGTCACGAGCAGTGTTGAACTTGGACTTTCGAACCAATTGAAGGACAGAGCTGTCGAGCCTATTGGTGCCCACTTCCTGAGTAGTTTTTTTGCACGCACACACACTTAATTAAGTACATCGCATCTTGTTACCTATTCAGACTCATGCGCCTGCATGTGCAACATATATATGAATGCAGCACTAATAACTAGCGCGTATCAAAATTCTTTACAATGATTTCTGCAGTTCCGCATCGTATGCTTGACACTGGAAACCTCAGACTCATCACCGGTGAGATGAATTGAATGCAAGCTCAGTTCCGAGGTCATGTAACTCTCAAACTTGTCCAGTCGTCGTCCTTTTTTATCCAAGGAACTGCACCTGCCACATCATCGATGCTCTCCAATACGAAGGATGACAGTCGCTCGGCACGATCACGGTCATGGAGACCTCCACGGGCACGGGATTTGCTATGCATGAACATCTCCATAATGCATGCCTGTATAGTTTACAATGCATTGCAGCACTCATGATCACAGCAGTGCAATCACTCGGACCGATCGATCGATGAACCGGTTGGCTGCCAGCAGCAAACATGCACATGCTACATTTTTGCAGAAGTCGCCCCAATCAAGACTTCCTATTGATCGATCTATCTTTGACTGATTCACGTGTGTGCAGTTCACACATCACTATCCGCAAAAGCAAGCTAGTGCTATAGCAGGCTCAAAACCCTGCAGTCTCACGCTGATGCGACTGCTTTGGGAAAATATTTTTTGCTACCCCGCTATGAGCACAGTGCACCAAACGGTAAACAACTGTTGCAACAACATGTTATGAGCTCACAAAATATGCATGCCGATGTAGTGTACTATTTCGAAAAGTTCGGTGCCAACATAAGACCTTGATTGAAGTCACGATCTCACAGCATCCCCTTGGATTCTTTCCACTCTTTCAAAATCTTGTTGGCAGCACAGGTCTCCTCCTCCATGCGAGCAACCTCCAAGAATTGAGCGCTCAATTGGACATTATGCACGATTGCAACCAGTGCGGATCAATGTTTAATGTGTTTTTTGACATAAAGAAATATCGAACATGTCCAATCATGATATGATCTTAGCAAAATAGGCCTCGTCATTCTCAAGACATTTCGAGACCGCATCTTTGTGAAGCTTGAGAATCCCTTTGTGATACTCCAAGGATTCACATACAGCAGCCTTCATCTTTTCAGACCTTGTGTTGGATGTGCATGTGGCTCGGTCTGGATCAACTGTCGGGTTTGGGTGCGGATTTGGGCAGGAAAGAAAATGTCTTATCATTCACTGGCTGGTGGAGAAACTGGTATATTATTGCCCAGCTACATATCGACAGCCTTCTTCTCCCGGCGGGTGACATCGGCCAAGGCAGCAACCAGATCATTGAGAGCCTCATCAATAGGGAATAAAAATCTCGAGTCCGATATCGTTTAAAGGAGTATGATCGATTTATCGGTTTTAAGAACGTTACTAGTACTGTGACTGAGCCATTACATAAGACACCCTGGGCCCATGCATGTATATGTACACATGCACGCACATGTAGTGGAGCCTTCTTTGCTTTGCCACGCTTTTCGTTCTTTTCTTTTTCAAGCTGCTTCTGCCTGTTTCGTTCTTCTTCCTTTTGTTTCTTCTCCTGCTCCTTTCTATCCTTCTCGGCTTGCTTCTCTTGCTCCTTCTGCTTCTCCTCTTCTGTCTTCTCCTTCTTGTCCTTGCCGTCTTTCTTTTTACCCTTCTTGTTCTTGGTGGCCTTCTTGCTGTCCTTCTTTCCTTTCGATTTCTGAGCCTTCTTCTTGTGCTTGTTCTTCTTGCTTTTCTTCTTCTTAGACTTGGACGACGATGAACTCTCATCAGATGAGCCGTCATCCGAGGACATGCTCTCATCCTCACTGGAGCTGCTCTCTGAACTCGTCGAAGCCTTCTTGCGTTTTTTCTTGTCCTTCTTTTTGTCACTTTTGCTCTTCTTGTCATTCTTTCGATCTGTGTCATATCCCTCAAACATCATCTCAACCAGGTCGTCAGTAATCTCTTCCTCTGTCGACTCATCCCAGCACAAAAATAGGCGGAACTCCGGCCTATCTGTTTCTGGGTGCTTCTTCCAAAGCACATTCTCCATCTCGGGAGCGCTCTTGGATTGCACAATCTCCTCCGCCAATTCCTCGCCGTATCGGGCGATGATGTCCTTCTTCATCATCCACCTGCGGGCTCCACGTGTTCGACAGTTCAATGACTTCTTGAGGCGCAAGACAAGCTGTGAGCTTGACCAGATCTCCTTGGCAGAGCACCATTGCTCGTAAAGCAGGTGCAGCTTGCATGTCTTCTCTTTTCCTGGGCATGTCGCTCAAACACGATCCAAAAAGGAATATTGGAGCAGAGATCGAGCATATCGACTACAGAAAAAAAGACTTAACTGGTTCTGGTTGCCAGCTAGGCTCGATCTCCATTGCGTGCCTTCTCAGCCAACCATCGAACTTCTTCTGGTGAAGTTGGACCTGCATCCATTCGATATTGGGAATATCTGGAGTTTAATCGATCGATGAATGATGCATTTCTCAAAAAAGAGTGAGCCGAGATCAAGAGATCGTGAATGGTTTGATGAATTTAATCAATTAATTGAGTCGCTGCAGATCTCAAAAAAAGCGAGAGCTGAGATCGAGATATTGGAAATTCATTTTATACGGAAGCACGTCTCTGAGTGCAGGGCTCTTCAAGCTTCTGTAGAACCTCATTCGACGATTGTGTTTATCTTTGTCTCTCGGTTTCTTTTCTCCTTCAGTCTTCTCCTCTGCTTCCTTCTTCTCTGCGGGGTCCCCAAGAGCCTTTGCAAGCTCATCAGGATCGAGGCTGACGAGATCTTCTACACTGCTGGCCCTGTTGAGAAGGGCTCCCAAGCTCTTAGATGTGCACTGACGATGCAGGGACGATGATCCCGGTGTGCTTGATGACACCGAAGAGGGGGTGCCCTTTGGTGCCCGCTCTGCACTGTCTTCGGTGAGTGGAGAAGGCGCCGGTGGGGCAGAAGGCTTGGTGGGTGGTGGCGTAACCAGATCGTGCACTGCGTTGTTCTTTGCGGCTGCACTGTCTGGAGCCGCCTCTTGACCCTTGCCGCCTTTGGGCGCCTCTGAAGTGGTTTGGCGCTTTCGAGCTCCATTGGCCTTTGCACTGTCGTTCTCTTTTGCAGTCGAGACCTTTGCAGTCTGCTTAGCCTTAGGCTTAGCCTTGGGTTTGCCTTTGGGAGCTGCTGGTGCTGCTGGCGGTGCTTTGGCATTGGTCGCAGCTGCAGCGTTTCCCGTCAGCATTTGCATCACAGCTGCCTCCCGCTCCATCTGAACTCTCAGTGCCATGTCTTTTCCATATCTCTCCACCAATGTTGGGAACTCATCCAGATAGCTACGATAGCGATCCTGCAAAGCCGGTGGCACAGGGGCGGACACATCAGGCGCAGTATCCTGAAAAGTATCATCACATTGTCCCAAGACCAAGGTCTCTGCAGAGAGCGAAGCTAGTGAAGACCTCAATGCGATCCTCTTCTGTTCTGCAGCCTCAGCCTCAGCATGCATCTGAGCAGCCTCAGCTTCAGCCTGCTCCATTGCCCGTAGCTCCTCCAAACCTCTCAGTGCATTCAGTCGTGCCTCTTCATCTGTTCCCGGCACGGTTGTTGCCTGAGAATCGGCCAACGTTGGCGGTGCAGGTGCTTCTTCTTCTTCTTCATCCTTCTTTTCTTGCTTCTTCTGAGATCTTTTGTTTGTCTTTTCGGGTTCTTCTTTCTTTTCACCTGTTCCGCTTGCGATCGATTAATACATGCATATGCATGCATGTGTTTTCAATATGTTAACATTGTTTGCCTCATGTGTGCGCACGTAAAGCTAGTACAAAACATCATGCATCCAGAAATTGAAACACTTGCACATGCGCGCAGCATGCATGCGCGCACCTGCTTTGCTGAAGCACTGGTGTCTCCTTACAGCTGCTTTCTGTAGAAGATCTTGTAGATGCGCGAGATGTGATGTCTTTGTCTTGCCCATTGTGCAGCTTTGGTCGGTGCAGCACACGATACTAACTAACTGGTGCACGTTCGATAACTAGCAAAGCTAGCTGCATGATATAGGCAGAAGTGACAAAGTGTCGAAACATGTAACAAACCATCTTTTTCGAGAGTGTACCATGCATGCATAGTGACAAGTGACGAAAACAGTCTCGAAGTCTCGAATTGTTTCGCACTATATCGATTTTAACCGATTCACTGATAAAATCACAGAATAGTGGGGTTTTGATGGTTTTTTGGGGGGGGTCCCGACCACGCTAAAGTTTAGTCTTTCCACTCCAAAGTTTAGTCTTTCCACGCCAAAGTTTGGTCTTTCCACGCGATGACCACGCTCTGACCACGCCCCCGGTTTGTTGGGAGACTAATTGAAGCAAGCAAATGCTATTGATGTTGATTTCAAGACCCAAACTTGCCAAACAAATGCATTGAAATAGGATTTCAACACCTAAACTAGGATAGATCACACGAAGTCCACATTTCACGACCTGGGCTAGAAATATTTAGGCTTCAACTGCCTAAAAATGCAAGGGTCGTTGCATCTGTTGCAACAGGCAGCATCTAGCTGGCAACAAATGTAACGTTTAATTGAGCATGCTCTTCATGTCCACTTTTGCATCAACTATCGTTATGATATAGATCGATTAAAATCGAAAATGATATTTGATTGCACGATTGCATTTGCGAATTTGTTGGACATATATCTCGATGCTCAAACCAACCCAATGCACGAGAAGGGTTTGAAACGGCCCTCGCGCATCTCTTCCATGAGGAATTCCTTCAGTGGTGCCAGCTGGGCAAGGTCGAAGAACTGCCGCTCATCTGCAGTCGACACCTGTGCGAATTTCAAGTTTCCAGATATCGATCGATCTTATTATTTAATTAATATAAATATCGATACGAGGAGAGTGTGACAGTATCAAATATTATAACGGCCAACTCAGCTAGTAGTATATATATACAACAATCTACGATCTACCCAGATCGATATCTAGCAGAGGCCAACCTTCACGATGGGCCGCTCGCTAAACTCGCGGAGTTTTTGTTGATGAGCATCACCGCAAGTGGCCTGAGCAAGCAATCGTTGATAGATATCGTAAGAACTCCGGTTGCAGTTATGGTAATATTGATTTTAATTCAGTGATCACTAGCATTGATCACTGAGTCACCAACCATGTGTGCTGCGTGCAAAGCTTGCACTTTTGCAGCATACTTTTTGGGGTATGCTGCAGATTTGGTCATGTCTTGACCACCCTGCCTCATTCAAGTGTGCACACACAATCGAATTCTATATCGATCGCTACGTTTCGATTCACAGGAAATTCTTTTTTTATTATTAAGTCATGATACACTTTCATTTGGCCAGACTTGTCTTTGTAGCGCCGAACCATGCGAAACTCTTGATACTTTTTGGATCGTTTGATCTTCTTGAGCTTCTTGGCCGTGAGCTTGCAATACAGCTTGCCAATCCAAGGCCTGTCATGACAGCTCTTCTTGGAGATCGAGACCAAGACTGCCTGGCTGGTGGCAAACTTGCAAATCTGAGAGAAGGACGCGGTTCCAAACGCCACTGATGGTTTGCTGGTTGGGCTCCCATAAGTTCCCATCCAACTGAGTACTCGATCGATGGTGAATTCATACCACGAGAGAGTGCATGCATGCATCGATCCAACCGTTGCACATGTTGTGACTGATAGTTGAGGTACTAAGCACCTGGCAAGTTTTGTTGACACCACTGAATGCCAAACAGCTTCCGGAGTTTCAATGCCAACTTCACAAAGCAAGGAAACCTAGTCATCAGACTCGTTCGCGGTTGTTCAATGCAAACCTGGCAGGAACGGCTGAAGGCGACCATGACCAGGAGGCACAGTCGAGCAGTGATCCTGGGCGCGCAGGGAGGTTGCAAAGTTCAGCTAAATTTGATCGCAAGCACTGCATATATCATCACAACATAAAATATATAAAGATAAAGATTGCTGTGCTCAGGCAACACTCGTGTTCCCTTCAGCTGCTGATTTAGACTTTTTAGAGCCCAATACATTGTAGCGTGTACGTTTTGTGCTTCCCCTTGACACCCACACCCAGCTGGAACACGGAGGCCCACAGTGCAGCAACCCTGAAACCTGTAGTTGCAAGATGTAGGCCAATGCCCGGATGAAGCCTTGCCTCGTCCGGGTCGACTCGCAATTTTCGAAATGATCGAGTGATGCATGCATGCGCCGATGGGGTCCCAGCGTGGATAAGATGTCATTGCTCTTGGGGTGCAAGTTGCGATCATAGCGGGCCCTCAACAACATTGTATTCGATCTAATTTTTCCGAGGACAGTGATGCACGAGCATTTACAGATCTGAGTTTGTGGCCCACTCATCTTTTTGCCTCCTGGCAGCGAGCCAGGCGATTCAATTGCATCAAGTGTCTGACAGTACTAGCTACTGGTGTCGATCTATTAGTGGACAGTTATAACTACTATAGACATAAATTAATATAAGTCGCTTGGATCCCCAGCGAAAAGCTTCGCAAATGGATCCCTCACCACAAAATAGATCCACCACGGCAAGGACCTCATCTGTATAATCTAATTTAAACAAATATCATAATATTTCAACTATAACGAAGAAACTGAGTCTGATACCCTGCGTGTGCATTCAGGTCGGTGCGTGTTCTGGGAAATCCAATCGGCCAAGTGGATCCTGAGCGTGTTTTGGTGTGTTGTAAATTGTACAAGTTCTTCAGAGTACGTGCATGATGCAGTCAACATGCATTGCATGCACAGCGCAGCCTAGATTCACCAAGTAGGGGCATCCCAAAGAAAGTAAGACACTCACTGCCGTCGACGATAGGGATATAGGCGACCTTTCCTCAACCTTTGGCACATGTGTGTAGCATGGCACCTGTGCTACCGGCATGGCTGAATCACCCACCGATATAGACCGATTCTCGATCGCTTCGGGCCAAATATCCTGGATCTATGACATATCGATGACAGATCTAGACCGATATATTAGCTGACAAACGATTGCACTGTCCCAAGTTGATTCTGCAGAGCAAAGCTGATATTAGCTAAGGAGAGATCACCGACTTCAACTTCATTCGAGACTGGGTGCATTGCTTTCTCAATGAAGGCGGTCGAACTTCAGGCAAGATTTAAATCGATCCGAAGAAAAACTCGGGGCAGGCTGCATGCATGCAATCACACACATCGTGAGTTTATAATATACAATAGCGATCGATCGATATCGATAGATCATTCAGAGATACGATAGATAAATTTATCGATTCAAGTTG